AAAAAAAATTTTTTTTTTGTTGAGCCCTGCAATGCATCATGTACCGTATAGACTGACTTGACTGAAAACATCAAAGAAAAACACATATTCTAAGAAATCACAACTCTTTTAAAAAAACATACATACAAACTAAAGTACATGCTAGTTAGCAAAAAAGTTATGTAAAACGTCATATCATGTACTAATACAAAACTTTACATCCCTATGTAATATATTGCATGTGTACAACATCTATACACACATACAAACACATGTTAGAGGTCTCTCACAGAATTCACCTCTCTGTGAAACATACTGAGGATTAATAAGAAGACAGATAGGAATAGTGTAATGAACAGGGTTAACATACCCAGACTGGAGTTTCCCCTGACTATAGTTATGGTTCTCTCATAGCCACTTGAGGGGATGGTGACATGTTTAGCATCAGCCTCCATCTTGCTGTTCTGAGAGTGGGAATTTGTCTAAAACACAAACAGAGAAAGCATCAGGCATCTTTACGCAGTGAAACGGCCTATTTTCTTCGCCTATGCGGTAAATGGAAAGCAAAAAGAATCTCTGGAGCTGCTAAGAGCCCCTTTAAACATCTGTCCTGCAGCAATGCTTCATTTCCTGTGCTGAAAGTGTTTATTTAGTACACAGGCATCCAGTTCTCGAGAGAGATCCCAGGCGAGTCGGTGCCAGTGAATGTGTGACTGAATGACATTCATAGCAACAAGAACAATCCTCTGATGAGCAATTTCTTGCACTTTTTTTAAGTTGTCAACAGATGATGTCAGATACAGTCCTTGCTGTCAAGACAAGAAATACAGTTTTCTAATGTTCACTAACTTCTTCCGAATCCTGACCCAATGTATCAAACCCAGAACATTGCTAGGATCCAAAATAACCTCTTGCCAAAGGCCAAATGCAAGTAAGAATGCATTTCATGGAAACAGAAGTCTCCTATGCTCACTAGGGCTACAATTACTTGATCAAATACAGGGAAAAAAAATGATATTATTGCTTAAAAAATTTAATAAATTATTAAATAAGTTATCAAATAGAAAACTGGATTTTCAGGAGTCATACTCCAGTCTTCAGTGTCACATGATACTTCAGAAATCATTCTAATATACTGATTTGATGCTCAGGAAACATTTCTCATTATTATAAATGCTGAACAGTTGTGCTGCTAAATATTTTTGAGGAAACTGTGATACTTTTTTCCCCCAGGAATCTTTGATGAATAGAAGGAACAGTATTTGTTCCAAATATAAATATTTTGTAATATTATAAACATCTTTTCTGTAAATTTTGATTTGACTTTAATGCATGCTTGCAGATTGAAGTATAAAATAAAATCTAAAGGGAAAAAAAAGAAGAAGTAGAAAACAATTACTGACATCCAAATTTTTGAATGGTAGTGTACATTAGTAGAAGATATTGTCAGAATATGATAACAAAATACAAAAAGATTACATCCATTAACATTAGTTAATGAGGTAGGTTTCATAAAATAACAATTAACAACAGGTTTTTTACAGCCTTTATTAATCTAGGTTAATGTTGTTCTATAATACTAATGTTCATTTGCAATTCGTGTTTATTCATTAAAAATTAATTTATACAAATTAAAATGTTAAAAATATATTAGTATACTGTATGTAGAACTGAACATTAGCCCAGATTTACAAATCTCATAAAAGCATTATGTTAGCTTCTGAAACTTACTGTAAAACGATAGTTTATTACAATATTACACGTATTCTAAAGAGATTTTAGTTTATCTACATTTTATCCCCTCCAGATTTCCATGTGGTGACACATAAGTGGAATAGCCTGCAGTGTTTGTCACCAATATGCAAGAAACACGCCGATAAATAAACAGATTTTTTTTTTTTTATTCTGCAAAATACATTAAATGCTACATACAATTTGTTCACCACTGGCAGATATGGCAAAAATGTTAATAATACACAATGATACAGTCAATAACAAAACGTTTAAATGTGTTCTCAACAAGCCATCCAAACGAATGAGTAGTTTACACACTTGCAGTCTGGAGTAAACCAAAACCCTCATGTGAATAAGAGATGATGTCACGCAAATCCTGACAACAAATATCCTCAACATTTAAACCCTGGCAGCTAGAATGACCACACTGAATTAGGTCAGTGGAAGAAAAAACACTTTCTCTTTCGCCAACTAACTGCTTGAGTGCAACTAGCCCAAAACAACCACTGTTTACAAAATCAATTGCTGTAGGAACCCACAAAAATATACCATTCTGAAGTAGGAAGTCTAAACTTTACACTGTGCTGTAAACAGCCAACTAATCTACCGAGTTTAAGCTTGAAAAACAAATGTCAAGAGTCAGTGAAACGAAGTTGCTTCATGTAGCTCAGATGTTAACACCACAGCACTGTTACAAAACAGATCACATTAGTATTAAAGCAGGTATAGCAATATATAGCCTACTGTACCTGCAAAGTGCCGTGCTGGTTATGTTCTGAGTGGCAGTTGCCTTTTACATCAGCTCCTGTGTCCTGAGTGTCATTTTCCTGTCAATGACAAAGTTGTATTAAATCTCCTACTCAGAAATCTTGTCCCACTCCTCTCTTTATCTGGACACAATCACATATGCACTCGTCAGACGCTTAACTTTTGCAAAGAAAAAGAAAAAAGAAAAAAAACAAGTTCCCAGCACTAGCTAAACCCGATTTCAGAGTCGTGGGACACATAAACACAAATGCACTACTTGTTTTAGGAGGCTGGTGTTAGAATTCAAGAGACATCAATTATTGAAAGATTCCAGTAACCAGAGACTCATGAGCCACAGTTACTGAGACCCAGTTCACAACAAAGACCACCATCAGACTAAAGTAGATTTCCAATAATAATACTCCAATAATAACACCCATAGATTAGGTCAAAAACATTAAACTTACTTGGAATATACAAGATGACAGATGCAACGCAATTAGATATCATTCTAAACAAATAAGAAAATGTTCAATGCACAGTGTGCTATGAACATCTTGAATTTTTCCAAACTAAACTAACTTACACTATTTTAATTGTCTACTATCAATGTCCAGCAGTGATATCTGCCAAATCTCATCTATGATGAAGGTGATAATGATGGAAATGATTACTTAATTTTTTTTTGAATAAAATGGCCAAATCATTTGTCTTGTTGAGGTGAATTTCATAGCTAACATTTAATTGTATTTCTATTATGACAACTCTCTGAAGATTTTAGCATGGTAATGGATATGACAATGTTAATGTATTTGTTCTTGGAGGAATAGATCTGCAACGTTGCTGCTGAATTGCTGCTGCTTATTGCTGTCATTGTAGATTATTGCTGCTGCTGCAAAGCAAGTACATAAACTTGCTACTGCCAATACATACGCCGATACATACGTTGTGAGTATTTAAGACATACTGCTGCTGCACAAATAGCATACATAATAATGGTAGCAGATATATACAGGTGGAGCTGGGGAAGGTGGAGGGTTTCAGAGGAACTCTGAAATCCCACTGCGTGCTGCTCTAGTGAATGATAACCAGCATTTAAATGTAAAGCAGCAAGCTCATTGGCTGCATATGCAACATGAACCAATCAGCAACCAATCAGCCCAACAGTTTAACGCTGTGAATATCATTAATTTGTGCTAACGACCCATCAACCTGCACCATCTATACCAGTTTCATAACAGAACTGGGCATATGTTCTAAATACATACAATTATATATGTCAGTCCTGTATCTCGTGTTTTCCTCCCCCACGTGCTCCATGTCCCAGTTTTCCCATGTTGATTGTGTTAATTTGATTCCAGGTGTGTCTCGTGATTTCCTTGATTAGTTTCCATGTGTATTTAAGCCCTGTGTTTCCTGAGTCCCGTGTGCTGTCCAGAGCTCACTCCAGTGTCGGCTCCAGCCCCAGAGCTTGGCCCAATGTCGGCTCTAGCCCCAGAGCTCGCCCCAGTGTCGGTTCCAGCCCCAGAGCTCTCTCCAGTGTCGGCTCCAACCCCAGAGCTCGCTCCAGTGTGGGCTCCAGCCCCCGAATCCAGCCCAAAGAGGGCTCCAGTTCCTGAGTTTAGCCTATGGAGGGCTCCTGTTCCTGAGTTCCAAATCAAGCCCAGGGAGGGCCACAGTACCTGAGTCAGGCCCACGGAGGGCCTTAGGGGTTGATATTTTCCCCAAGTATTTTTTATTTTTAGAGGCTGGGCCGAGTGCCGAGGCCAAGGCCATGGAGGCCGCTCCGCCATGGCTCCCCGAGCTGTCTGATCCGTCATGGCGTCCTGAACTGTCTGCTCCGCCATGGCCTCCTGAACTGTCTGCTCCACCGTGGCCCCCTGAGCTCCTTACTCCGCCATGGCCTCCTGAACTCCCTATTCCCCCATGGCCTCCTGAACTGTCTGCTCCGCCATGGCTTCCTAATCTGCCTGCTCCATTATGGCGCCCTGAACTGCCTGATCCGCCATGGGTCCCGAAATGGGTAGCGCCCAACCCATCCCATTAGTTTCCATGTGTATTTAAGCCCTGTGTTTCCTGAGTCCTGCTTGCTGTCTTAAATGTCCTTTGGTTTCTTTACTACGTGTGTTAATAAATCCTGTTTCCTATATTCTCCGATGTCTCCTCGCTCCTTCACTCCTCTTCTGACACAGTAGCAGCAGCAGATCGTGGCAATATACTGTATATATATATATATGAAACAATTATATAAAAATGAAAATAAAAAATTTAAATTAAAATTTAAAATAAAAAATAATTTAAAATGAAAACTAAAATTAAATATTTTTGCAGTAATGAAATGAACCCATTAATAATAATGAATAAAAAATTCAAGTAAAAATATTTTACTTGTTTTTCTTTACATACAAATACAATGACTTTTGAAAAAAAAGTATAGTAAAAGTATACTAACTTATTATTACAGTATATATTATTACACTTGTTATAAAACTATTACTATACTACATTTTTAAATACTTGTGTATTTCTACACTACACTATTTCACATAGTGTATTTCACTTTTTGTGATCATTGTTTTAAAAAAGCAAAAATATCTAAAATCTAAAATCATAAAAAAATCAATAATATATATCATTGTATTGATGGATTTGTATGAAAATCTGGGTAAAAGGCATTTGAAAAATGCCAACAATACATGATGAAGGTAAGGTAAAATGTTTCCAAGAATAATAAAACCCATCTGACATTAAAATGCCTGCAGTTGAAGAAACTATAATTTAATATACTTGAGTAGTCAAAGCAGCCATTAGTTACTGATAATTGATGCATATGCTTATCATACTGCAAATTACACATGTCAAAGTGGTGCACATTGAATTCTCTTAAATTAAACTTGCCTGACATTCTATAAAGACCTAGATGACTCAGAATCTTCATAGACATACAATATCTTGGATTCTAGATTTCTCCCACACTGCCCAAAGTTGTAATTGTTGCTGTCTATCTTGTGAAAGGTGATGATTGTGAAGTGAATGGAGAAATTTACCGGTAAGGGTTTGGTGACTCCGATTCGTACGGCGCCCAAAGCAGTGCTCTTCAGGACATGAATGGCCTGAGCCAGACTCGCGTGGCTCAAGTCAGTCCCGTTCACGAACATCAACCGGTCACCTGGCAACAAGCGGCCATCTCTCTCTGCCAAGCCGCCTGCTACAAGAGAGTGGATCACTATCACAGTACGCCCTGGGTTCATGAGGTCCTGAGAGAGTTTCAGAAAGTGACAGCGCAAGAGAGAGAGAGAAGAATAGTAATAAATTAGGAGACACTGCTGCCATGTTGTAGAAGGATTTCAAACCAACTGGGACTCCCCAAACCAACTGATGTGGAGCTCATACTCTGCTGCTCCCTTCTTGTTGTAGTATTGGTATACACACACACACACACACACACACCTGGTAGTCTAGTATACTGAATCCCAGGCCAGAATCGCCTTTCTGCAGCTCATAGACTTGAATCTCGTTCTCCCACATGGCCTGATAGGATAGCACAGGAGCTTCTGTCTTCCATTCATCCTCTCTGCGTCCAAATGACTTCTGCTCGGCCTGTGAGAAAAAGTGGATTGAAGGAGAAAAGAAAAAGAAAAAGTCAATATTATTTTGCAGTAAAGCATGAGTGGAATCATGTTTCCTCATTTGAAAAAGGACAGCAGTGTTAATTTGTTTAAGTTGCTATTTTGTATACTTCATTTTATTATAATGTTAATTGGGAATACTCTGTAACACATTATTTTATGGTGCCTTTGTTACACATGTTACATGTACTTACTATAATAGTAATAATAATGATGCATAATTACATGCAAGTAATCCTAAACCAAACTCTAATCCTAACCTTAACCATATAGTAAGTACATGTAGTTAATTATTATTACTCGGTACTTAAATGTATAATTACACTGTAACAAGGACACCTTAAAATAAAGTGTAACCGAATAATTTTATTCTTATCCTCATCCAAGGCATTCCACAGTCAGTACCTTTTTATGCTACTTCAAATTTTTTTCCCTTTGTTATTTTTGGAACTTCACTGTATAATTGCTCATAAGAGATTGACAAGTACGTTTATCATTTTTGTCCTTTTGTGTTACACAGAAGAAAAAGGGTCATGTGAGTTTAAAACAACATGTGGGTCAGTTAATACCCTTTGTCAAAAAGGAGTCCAATTTAGCATAGTTCTAATAAACAGTATTTCTTATGCAAATAATATACTTCAGTGCTAACTGAATGTTATATTTTTATGCATGTTATTTGCAATAAATGTATTCACATTTAAACTGATATTAAATGCAATTAGCTGAACTTTAGAGTTCTTATTGACCCTCTTAAGCAGGGTATATTTACTATAAAATATGGGTGAAGTGTACTGCTGAATGTACTGACAAGCATTTATGGTAATTAAAATATACCTTAATATCATTTCTATTGAAAGTTTTATGTAATGGATTTTGAAATTGCAATTTAGTACATGTAAAACATATTAACTTGTGATATGTAATATCAAACAACACACTAGCGTTAAATTCATAATCAAGTATTTTACATCTGCTTTAGTATGTTAGTCAATACATCAAAATAAGTGTACTTCTACCAGTACACTTATTGTGTACTTAAAAAATTATTGAAATATAATGATTTAAAATGTAATTTTAAGTAAAATTATCAATTTGCCATTATTACAAAGAAAAATTTTTAAAAATGTATTAAGTGCATTATGTGCTTACAATTTAGTACAATACTATTACACTTATACAATACAAATGCACACTGACTACAGCTAAGCACATTTCTTTTTCACAAGGGTAGTGCATTGCACAAACATTTAAACTTGTCCTTTAAATATCATGATGCACAGACACAGGAAACCTTTTCATTAAATCTGCTAGTAGCTCCTTGAGCGTGAGTTGTACATCGACACCATCATCATCTTCCTCTCCGACTGTGGGTAGGATGAGACGACTGCAAACCACACAAACATTCACAGGAAGTTCCCTCAGCAAGCTCACAACTTCCTTATGTGTCTCACCAATCAGAGAGAACCTGTTCACCTACAGACAGAACAAACACATCACCTTCGTTGTTCTGCTGAAATGATCCTCTGGGCTTTTCTACTGACAGGAAGGGCTATTTTTAAGTAGCTGTCATGATTGATATTCATGTGCAGTCAGCACTGAATAAAGTGCTATGCATAGAAAACAGAATGCAGAAAGAAAGATGAGCGCTTTCAGTTATTGTGCATGCATGTGTTAGCAGGCTTTATGATAAGGGATTACAACAGTGTAATCTATAAACAACAGTATTATCTGTGCGTAATGCTTGTTTGACTTTGAAGTATAACCAAATATAATTTCCATTAGCATTTTTAGGTAAATACATTTTATAGTAGTGTTTGTATGTGTAATGTGAGATATTCTACATGACTATGTGGACACCCCCTTTCAATTATAATATAAAGTGAACCTCTAGCAGCTCGTCTCCAGGCCGTATGATTCCTGTCTGTCCAATCGGACCCTCTGGCAGTATGGAGCAGATATAGTGATGACCTTCCATAGTCTCCAAACTCACACCAAGACCGCTGCTCTCAGTGAACTTCTGTACCTGCGCCACCTGCACACACACACACACACACACACACACACACACTGTAAATATAAATGTATTAGCATATATATATATATATATATACATATACATATACTGTATAGATTGATATACAAATATACAGTGGACATGCACATACATCATAAACAGGCATATAAAGAGACACATACTGAACATAAACATATGCTGACACACACTCAAAAATCTCAGCCACGGAAATTAACTGTCAGCTAAACAGGACAGAATACAGATGAGACGCACCATGACTTCATATTGAGGACCCAGTTTGCTTTTCCACTTCTCCTTCAATATTTCCTCCTCTTCATCAGACAGTTTGCAAACTAAAACAAAATTTCCAAGCATCACACAGCTAATAAATAAATGACAACATGACTGAGGAGAACAGACTACAAAAGACAATGTTTTCATCATGTCAGTTACATCAGTTACATTGTGATTTGTATTTCACACTTTATTTATATCGATGTTAGAAATCACCAAGCAAACTAAAGAAATCTTAAAGGAATATTCTGGGTTGTTTACAGCTTAATGTCTATAGACAGTATTTGTGACATGCTGTCGATTAGGGTTGACTGGACAGCAGAAAAAAATCGTAAATGTAAATATGCTAACAATATAATGGTGTACAGTTAGGAAAGCAAAATAAATAGAATTATCAACTTTTAAAAGCATAACGTTTCAAAGGATGAAATGCTTGTCATATCTTGATGTCAAATTCATACAGTGTTTTGGCATAAAAGCTCGAAAAGACACCTTAAAAAACAACACTTAAAATTTACTGACCCTCGGGCCACCCAAAATACAGATGCGTTTGTTATTTATAGGAACAGTTTTAGAGATATTTAGCATTACATCATTTGCCCACCAAGGGATCGTCTGCAGTGAATGAGTGCAGTCAGAATGAGAGATCAAACAGCTGATAAAAACATCACTATAATTCACCAGTAACCCACACGACTCCAGGCCATCAATTAACGTTTTTGGACTGTTTTAGTCTGTAAATATCTGCATATTTCACTCCTGATTCAGACAAGACAACTTTTTCACTAGAGAAAGCAATATTATGGCTAGAGGACTTGTATTTTAGCCAGAATCAACGCTTTGAAGTTAAAAACATCCAAATTATGATTTTGTTTATTACAAACATGCAGTTTTATCAGTTGTTTGAACTATCATTCTGACGGCACCCATTCACTGCAGAGGATCCATTGGTAAGCAAGTGATGTAAGGCTACATTTCTAATAAATTAAAATTTTCTGCAAACAATGCTTAAATCACGATTATATCTGTATATTATAGTGTATGTTTAACTAGTACACTAAGAAACCTGAGGTGCAAATCAAAATGAGTGGCTGTAATAATAATTGTAAATAAATCTGTTCTTACACGAGGACTGGTTTCTATTCTCCATCTTGGACTCTAAATCACAGGTTTGCGTTGACTCAACTGAGGTCACAGGAAGAACAAACAGAAACAGAAGCTGTTATTAGAATCAAAGTAGGGTCAAATAGTTACTAAGACTTCACACAGAGAATGGGGCCAAAGTGAAACTGAACTCATGAATCAAACACAGTGTGAATGAGTGCAAATAAACAGAAGTGGCAAGAGTTTCACTAACTGCACTCTCTGTTGAAGTTGAGGTCCCGGCGTTCAGTATAGAAAACTTTCCCTGGGGGCAGAACTGGCTTTGGCTCTGGTAGACATGGAGGCAGTGGAGGGGGAAGGAGACCCAGAGGGGTTAAGGGGCTCTGAGAGATTGTGGACATTGTGGGGGTAGTTTGTGTTCCAGATGATGAGCCCTTTCTCCGAATAGAGATCTGCACTTGTTGGCTAGTGAGCAGGATCTCCTCCGCTTTCTGTATAAGGATAAAACAGGTCATTATAACCATTTAACATTATATTTGAAAGGCATCCTTTATCATTTAATGGCTCTGAACTGCTAATGGTCATGCTTCTGTTTTAGTTTATCATTAACAACAATTAATTAAAAACATTATAATATAACATTATAATTATTATAGTGTCACATTTAGCTTCATCATTATTTAGTGTGAAATAACACCAGATGATGTCTGTGTCTTTCAGAATTTCTGCATGTTAAGATAAATAGTTCCAATCCAAAACAACCATATGCTAACACAGTTCAATTTTTCACTTCAGAGCTTATGGCACGCATTGATTTTCTTGCTAAATAGCTCTTGCTACAACATCAGTACTGAAAATATTGATGCTTCAGGAATGATTGGCCCAACCCCAGACGCTTTATCCCTCTATTTTACCACAAAGCAAGCAAGCATTTTTCAGAAATGTGCCTAGTATACATTGTAGTGACGTTGTTTGTGATCATTTTGACCTTGGCAAAACTTATGTAGAAAAATATAATAAAAGAAATTACAATAAACATCAGACAGAAGTGTATTTCCACAGTGTGCACACCAGTCAGAGAGTCTCATCACGTGAAAAGTCATTGCATTATTTAATGCTTCATATCTGAGGTCTCTAAAACCCCAAACATAATTAATGCAAAACTTTTCATCGAGGACGTTTGAAGTGTTTTATGAAGCAAGTTGAAATTCTCTTTATAATAAGCTCTCATTAGAAAAGTCATGAAGTATTAATCCAATACTTCAGTGTTGTTGTTTTTTTTTTACCAAAATGACACTGAAACCCCAAACAGAGGACGAGGGTTGGTCTAATGACACATTTACACAAATACAAACACATATCTAGTGACAATGTAATTAATCATACATACATAGTACTACCATTCTACCTAAAACAAACACTACAATGTAAACAGTCTTCCCTCGCACACGCACAACAGAAACATTTATTATTAATTGCTATAACATAATTTGCTACAACATAATTAGCAATAAATTGCTTAAAACCACTAAGAACTACTGTTTAAATGTACATGCACACACAAGGAAAGTAAAGAGATGTAAAAAAAAAAATCTGTATGGAACTCACAGCAATGATGCCATCTCCGATGTGAATTAGTCCATCCTGATCCACTGCATGTTCTTTCAGTATGCTCTTTACTTCAAATCCACTGGACTCTAAAACGCCGAATATTCATTTAATGTTTACATTTATCATTCTTAGACTGAATGGGAAAAAAATATCTTGCTGAAATAAAAAACAGTAAGGAATCATACCTTTGTCCAGGTTATTCAGAGATTTAGAGATGTTGACGCCCAAACCATTTTTGTTGTTACTGAATCTGACATTGAACTCTTTTTCCTTTTTCTCTACTAAATCCTGCAGAAGGGTAATTCTTTGTTCACTATTGGCACATCAAACAAGACATAATAAAGCAGCATTTATGATAACAACATGTAATCAAGATTAAGGATTTAAAAAGTGTGATTACATTTCAGATTTTACAACAAATTCTACTGTATATCTCTTTCTATTACATTGACACTCTCACTTAACCGTGTTAATGTCAATGTGAATGTCAATCAATGTTTGTTGATTGAGTGTGAGTGTGTTTAAGAAATAATTTCAGCTTAAAAATTGTTTAAATATAATGTTTGTCACATTTTATTAACCTTCATGTCATCCCAAACCTGTATAATAATTTAAAAAATAATTTTAAAAAGGACAGTTCACCCAAAGCTGTTTGGTTATCAACAATTCTTCAATAAAATATCTTCTTTTGTGTTCAGCAGAAGAAAGTCTTCAGGTTTGGAATGACATGAGGATAAGTAAATGATGATAGAATCTTTATTTTTGGGTTGACTGTCCCTTTAAGAATTGTTACGCAGCTTTTTTACCATACAATAACAGTTCACAGTGACCTTAAAAAATGACAAAAACACCACAAAAGCAGCATTAATGTGGTGAAGGAGGAACAGACTGCAATTTACTGAATTTGTTGTGTTCTGTGGAAGAATGAATGTCAAACATGTAAAAAAATACATGAATGTGAGTAAATGATAACAGAACTTTATTTTTTGGGTGAGCTATACTGTTTATATGACAATTTACATATATATGTGAACACACACACACACACACACACACACACACACACACAGAAGCATTTTGCACCTGTTTCTTTTGAGAGTCCTGTTGCTGGGCGATGGTAGGTGAGAGGGCACCATCAGTGGTTTCCCTGGCAATGATAAGTCTCACACGGGAACCAGCAAGACAGAGCTCACGTGCCACTTCCTCACTGCCCATGGCGGACACATCCACATCACCAATTCTGAGGAGAAGATCGCCACTACGCAATCTCCCATCCTGTGTGCACAAACACACATCCACAAATGTCAAGGCATTTGTCACTCTTTTTAATTTGAATCAGTTTGTACAATCCACAAATGAAATAATTTAAATAATGGTGTATGTGAATCCATGATGATTCTCTCATACCTTTCCAGCTACACCATTAGGTAGGATGGTTTTAACCATGGTGCCAGTACTCCTCCCTCCAATGATGCCAAAGCCTAGACCCGATCCGTCATTCTGCAACTCTATATGATGAATTTGTCGAGGCTGTGGAATCAAATTAAATTAGTGGAATAAGCCTAATTATAATACAAGAGAGACTGGGGCTAGTTATCACACTTACTCCAGTTAATATTTCTCAGGGTAGGTTTATTTTTAAAAGTAATTTTTTTGTATAAGCAAATGCCTTAGTCATGGCTACAAAAGCTGTTGAATTATTGAATACAAATACAATTCATTTAACACATATTGAACTTGTGTGCCACATTAGCAGGGAATGTCACACTTTATTGGGTAGGTTGTCAAGGTGGAACCTGCCATTAACAGCATATTATTGTTCCCTATCGATACTTCACTCGTACTGCATCTGCTAAAGACGCTATGGGAAAAAGCAATTTTTCTCCTGACCTGAAGCCTTTTTCAATCACGCAGTGAAACTGCATGGCCATTGGTTCGTGCAGTGTATAAAAAACTAACCAATGGCTCGGCAGCGGAGCCTTGTGGTGCTCGAACGCCATTTATGGCTGACGCTAACGGAAATTAAGGACACGGATAAGGTCCCCTTCCTTGACGCTCCAATCTCCCCCAAAGGTCTCTTCAGACCGGCGGTCGCAGGATTCGCCGAGCGCTACACAGAGGCACAGAAATCGTCCCAAGCTATGTGACATTTCCTGCCAAAGCGCTCCAGCTCCGCTGCTGCCTCTAGTTGCCCTAAGTCTACGCCGACTCAGCAGCCCGTGGAGCCAGCACCTGCCGCCGCCGCCGCCGCCGTTCAGCCTGCTAAGACTCAGCAGACGCGAGGGCGCTCCCGCTCGGCCAAATGCTATCCCCATCCTAAGCGCCAGGGACCCCGACCCAAGATAGCATTGGACCCGGTGCCTCAGGCATCTTCCTGATCTGCGAGACAGGAAGAGGATGGGGCCAAGTCTCGCTACAGCCGGACCACCCCCCAAGCCGCCTCTCTTAAACCTCCTAGTGTCACGGCTCGGTACTGAAAACACACCGTGTAAACAGGGTCTGGGTCCAAATGCAGGTGAAAACTTCTTTATTTAAACAGAAAGGCCAACAAGGCAAAACAAAAACAGGTCTAGAGACGACGAACACCATTACATTATACAATACAACCAGAGAACATCATGAGCGGGCACCGCCGCTTCGGGGGAACTGAGAGTGGACACCGCCGCCTCGGGGGAACTGAGAGCGGACACCGCCGCCTCGGGGGAACTGAGAGCGGGCACCGCTGCCTCGGGGGAACTGAGAGCGGGCATCGCCACCTCGGGGGAACTGTGAGCGGGCACCGCCGCCTCGGGGGAACTGAGAGCGGGC